AGACACTGCACTCACACAGCAGCTTCATTGCCCACAGCCTGCTCGACCACTATGACAGAGGAGGCACAGCTCTAGTCTGTTGACTGCAGAAAGCCAAGTATGTAGAGCTGATTAAAGATTTGGGGTGTGTGCCCTGTTGGTATCCGACTACACCCAAAATGCTAAAGCTTGGACCCATCAGGCTCCACCTTCAGCCTACGCAATCTGTGTGCAGCACCAGCAACTGCAGCTCTACTCTAGCTCATACTACGTGTAGCAGATGCACATTCATTAATTTAATTAGCATAAACCCTGCAAGCAAAGATTTGTAAGTAGTAGCCAAAAGTTTCTCAGCTATTAAGGACAGGAATTGTGTCAGACATCTTCACCAAGAGTTTTCTTTTTCCTCTCAAGGAAACAAGATTTATCCCACTGAGCTGCAAAAAATGAACTGACTATTACATGCAGAACCACTGGGTGCATTACACTTCCTTGCAATGCCTTGGTATGTTTGTGTTGTTTGTGGTCTGGAATATTAAACTTTTTATTTTTAAATTAACTAGCTTTGGTATGCAATTTGATGGAGGAAAGGAGCTTCTAAAGGCTGTGCTGGCCACAAGGACTGCAGATCACACGCCAATTCCTTTTTAGAATTTCCAAACTTTCACAGGCTTTCAACACCTCACTTGTGATCCAGCACCTCGCCTTAAAACAAGCAACACAGATCATAACTCCCAAAGTATTAAAGCTTTGTGTTCTTAAACCCAAAATTGTGTAGTTTTTAAGCAGTTCTTCAAGCTGTGTAATACAACTCCAAATAACAGGCCAATACACAATGGGAAGGGTGGGTGGCATTAAGGTCCAGGCATACATAAGACTGTTTACCTTTATGGAATTCGTAAGTACAGGTGAAGGGTGGAATTAGTCTCTGGAGCAGGGTATCTCAAGTCTAGCAGCATGCACCTTTTCCTCCCATTCCAACTGGCACAACTCTGTATGCAGGATGAATTCCTTGCTATTTGGTAGGGCAGAGGCTAAACAGATTTGTCTCCCATAGCCATTAATATTAAGGGTTTTTTTATTTAGCCAAGCAGACAGAACACAGGCTGGGAACTCTGGGCCTTTGTTTCATCACTCCTTTTCCTAAATTCCCAAGCTGCTAGTCTGTAGGGGAAAGGACTCTCTGGCTCTCCATCCTTCCTGCTCCTCTTTAGAAACTGTTCCATTTTGTTTGATAAGGGGACTGGAATCCAGATTTTTTCCCCCCCTATCCCTAGGGAGTACTGTGACTGAGCTTTGTCATCCATTCTTGTGTTTTGTTTCCACCCCCCTAAAAAGAGTTTCCACAGGAGGAATTCAGAGCCACATATACAACATTCCTGTGCTCTTGAACAATACTGCTCAGCTCCCTTTGTGGAATGCCAAACACTCAATGCTCCTTATGCAAGAGGTAAAGAAATCATTTCAGAAACTAGACTGAGCTGCTGAATGCTCCCAGGGCAAAGCCCATTAGGAAGGATATGTAGGAGAAAACCTTAGGCAGGATCCACAAACCGCAAGGAACCAGGCTCCTCTCTTCTGCCCAGACTTTACTGGTTCTGCACACTTCCAGCAAGTGCCCAGACTTCCTGCCCAAACACAGACTTCTAAAGCCAAAAATTAGATCTTACAAACATCCTTGTGCTACAAAAGGGCTTTAATCCCTCAGAAACCATGTTTCCATGGTGCTTGATTGTTGTTTTCACTAATTTGCTTCATAAAAGCCAACCAATGCCTGGCAAATCAGAATTAACCTTTTACATCTCTGACTGCTTTTCCTAAACCATGATCCTTCACAGCTTTCCCAAGAATAAGCCATACTATTGCTTAAGAAATATATATTCATCCTCATCCCTCTTCATCAAGCAATCCAGAGGAAACTTCAGATAATCACCTGGTAGGATTTCCCTTGTGGCTTGCTAGAGGACACACAAAGTTCCTCATGTGGGCTATTAGGCTAGAAAGGCATCCAAATACTAGCAGCGTGCAAACCCAGCTCACTAAAGGGAGAAGCTTTCTGTCCTGCTCACTTCCCCCCCAGTTAATGCCATTTTGCCATGCAGTTTGAAGGACACCTAGTAATGCAGGCAGGGTAAATCCATCCCCTGGTCAGCACTGGCAGAAGCACATACCCTCTCCTCAGTCAGTCATGAAATCATGCTTGGGAAGAATAACAACATTTATGTTATGCACTCAGGTAGCATGAGCAGTATTGCATGCAAGTTTTCTCAGTAGCTGTTGAAATCACTGCACCTTTCCTGGACTGGCTATCAGAAATTCCTTCAGAAGTTCCTGAGGCCATGTTTTTACCTCCTAAACACAAGTTTATGTGTGTGCTATTGAGGTCAGGCAATAAAACCCCTACCTTGAGCTTAACCTGACTTTTATTTCATCAGTCACACCAAAATGAGGCACATTTGCCTACAAAAACCCCACAGGCCCATGCAAACAGTGAGGCCAAACACAGCATTGCCACCTTGTATGGCAGCACCTACTGATTCTCACTGTCCAGCAGGACAGCTCTGCTCCCTCAGTTCTTGGCACTGTTATGCCAGCAAAGTTATTTTCAAAATTATTCAGAAAACTCGCCAAAAACGGGAATGCATTATGTGAGCAGAGGATTTCAGTTTTAGATTTTAAAGCCAGCTCAGACACATAATTACATTAATACAATGCATTGTGAAAGAATGATAATAGAAATACTGATTACATGCTTAAAAGATTTAGGCTTGAATCATTCCTAAAGAATAGAGCTATGATCATAGCCTGACATATCAATTATTAAGAGCCTGTACTACTTAATTATCTGATTTCAATAGCACTAGGAAATTAAAGAGGAACGTTGGATTCTATTATATTAAATATACAAATGGACTCCATGAAAGGCATTTGCTAGAATGTGAGTGACTTGACAATCAACACACCACTGCCAATAAAACCCATACAAGCTTCTTGTGGGATGGGAAAGGAAGCAACTCCACTGGAGAAGGGTAAATCCATGGGAG